AGAAACCACAATAAGAAAGAAAAGCAGACATTCTCAGCAGAAACAATGGAGTCAAGAAGGCAGTGGCACAGCGCACTGAAAGTGCTGACACACTTGTCAAACTGTGCATGTAACTCAGTAGCTCAGTAGTAGAGTGTTTGATAGTATATGAGAGGCCATGGGTTCAATCCCCAGCTAAGGAACGAAGGAAAACTTGTTAACCAAGAGTCCTAAAACCAGCAAGAGTGTTTTTCAAAAATAAGAGTAAGGTTTAAAATATTCTAAGATAAACAAAAACTCAACAGAATTAATTACTAGCAAAATTAGCTTAAAAGAAACACAGACAGAAGTTGTTTAGGCTGAAAGAAATTAATATCAGTCATCAATGTAAACTTACAAGGAAAAATGAAGCTTGTGTGAAGGTAGTTACATAGGTACTGATAAAAGACAGCATAATTATATGTTGCTTTTCAGTTTCTTTTATATTACTTAAAAATAACTGCATAAAACATTATCCATAAAATTATATTTTGGGACCCATAGCAGAGAGAAATTAAATTAAATAACAATAATACAAAGCAAAAGGATAGGAATAAAGCTATATTGAATAAAGAAAATTAATAGCAGATGGTAACTGGAATATATGGGAAGAAATGAAGAGAACTACACTGGTAGATAAGATAAATAAAGCATTCAAAAAACATCAATGCATTGACTTATTACTATTCATTCTTCACAAAGCTTTATAAAATGATATGACTATATAAGGCAAAATTATATAATGTGTGTGTATATATATTTATATAAATATAAAATACAGTATCATATTTAGAAATAATAGTGCAAAAATAGGGGAAAGGGAATGGTTTTACATCAGAATAAAGTTTCTACGTCTGACCAGAGTAAAGTTAGCATAAATCTGAAGTACATTGTAAAAAGTTAAGATATATATTATGAGCCCAACACCACCTAAGAAATTAATTTGTAAGAATATTTTTAAATTATTTAAGGAATTAAAATGACAAACTAGAAAAGCCAATGGAAGGTGGCAGGTAAAGGAGGAACACAGGAACAAAATAATCATGAGAAATAAAAAAAACTAAAAGCAAAATTACGTACATAATCCAACCACTTTAACGATAACATTAAAAGACAGCCAGGCCCAGCATGCCTCTAGTTCCAACCACTCAGGAAACAGGGAAGAGGATCCACTTGAGCCCAAGAGTTGGGAGGCCAGCCTGGGTAATGTAGTGAGACTCCAGAGTCCAAAATAAAAAAGAAGAATATCACATAAAATGGCAAAATAAAGCATTCAAAGAATCCTTCCACTGAAGCAATTATAAGCTAGCAAGGATGGACAAAAATCAACTTTTTTTGGAACCCTAGAATCTAATTTTTTTAAAAAAATCTTTTAACAAACAGGAAAGTGCTTAATGAGAAAGAACACTGGGTTTCAGAAACAAAGCATTGTGGCATTTTTGTTTAACTATCTACCATTCCCCTTTCTCCAGTAGTGTGGTTGCCATGGGGACAATGGCTCATATTCCTATACTATGGCTGACTGATGCCAAGGGACTATAGGAACCTTGTTCTTCAAATACTGTGGTCAAATGTTGTAATCTATTTGGAGGTTCCCCAAAATGCCAGCACAGAGGATGACCTTCATTCCATACTCCCACCATCCAGGCAGAGGCAGTACCAGTTCCAAAATTTAAAGAAATGCCCATATCACAGATGCCAGGACATGGGACAATGATTAGGGAAAGCACCAAACAGACCCCAAAGTGTGGGAAGACGGAGGTTCAAAAGAAAGTTTCTAGGAGGAATAAAGTCTCAAAATCCCCACTGAAAGTACCATGGAAAACAAAGAGCAACACTTAAGCCCAGGATCAGAGATTTTCTAAAGAAGACCTGACAAAAACTTAGATTAACAGGTCTAGTAAATCTGTGAGCTGCATAAAAGGAGGAGGTTTATGCAAAGACAGAGTTATAGGTAACCTGGCACAACATTAAAGAAATGTTAGAGCTCAAAGCAGAGCTGGAAGAGTATTTAACTTTGTTTCCTTTTGATCCCAGGCATTTAAAGAAATCTCTATCAAGTCACTGTCTCACCATCTGAGATAATGAAACAGACTAAGGGACACAGAATAGAGTCCTTTCAAATAGGAGTTAGGAAAAGTTATGGCATTAATTTCTCAGGGCTATCATAAAAACTATCACATACTGGAAGATTTAAGAATCTGTTCTATTATCACATACTGGAATACTTAAGAATCTGTTCTTTCACAGATCTGAAGATTAAAAATCTAAAATTGAGGGCTGGGGATGTGGCTCAAGCGGTAGTGCGCTCGCCTGGCATGCGTGCGGCCCGGGTTCGATCCTCAGCACCACATACAAACAAAATTGTTGTGTCCGTCGAAAACTAAAAAAAAATAAATATTAAAAAAAAATTCTCTCTCTCTCTCTCACTCTCTCTCTCTTTAAAAAAAAAAAAATCTAAAATTGAGGTGTCAGTAGAATTAGTTCCTTTCGAAAGCTTAGAGGGAGCAATTCTTCCTTGTTTCTCTCCAAAATTCTGAGCTGCTGGTGAGTATTGGCTTGAACATTCTGCAACTCTGCCATTGTTGCAATGTAGTATTTCAAATCTATGTTCATATTCTCTCTTTCATCTTCCTTGTTTTCTGAACCTGGGTCCAAATTCTCCTCGTAAGGACACAAATCAGGATTAGGGCCAACATACCAACCTATCATGAATTCAACTTAACTTGATTACATCTGCAAAGACCATATATTCAAATAAGGTTATATTCACAGTTACTTAGAATTAGGATTTGATATTACTTTTTGGAGAACAAAATTCTACCCATTATAGGCAGTAAACACACTTAAATAGACTATAAAAGAATGAGCAAGCAAAACCTAATGTAAGCTGAATGAAGAAAACAATAAGGATTAGAGGATAAGTAATGAATGAGAGACTAGAGAAATAAAGAAAATCCACAAAGTCAAAGTTGGGTTGTTTTAGAACTAGTAACAAAATTTATCTAGACTAAGAAAAATGAGAGAAGACTCAAATTGCTAAGATCAAAAATGAAAAAGGATAGTACTACCAATCTCAAAGAATGAAAAATAATTGTAAGGTAATACTATAAACTATATGCGAGGAAATAAGATCATAGATGAAACAGACAAATTATTAAAGGCAAAAAACTACTAAAAAAGAGAAGCTATTACCATATTATCCAGTAATTATAAACTTACAACAAAGAAAGCTCAAGATTCAATAACTTCATTGGTAAATTCTACCAACAAATATTTAAATTAGAATTTTAAAAAATTATTTACCAAGTTTGTCAAAGAGGAAGGAACACTTTACAACTCATTATATGAGAACAAGTATTTCCTTAATTAAAAAAAAAAGATGACGATATCACAAGCAAAAGAAAACTTTAGGTCAATAGATCTAAAAAATTTTCAACTAAATAAAAAAAAAAAAACCAATCTAGCAATATTTAAAAAAGGATTATACATATGACGAAATGGGGTTTATTTCAGGAACATAATGATCTTTTAAAATCTGAAAGTCAACTGTGGTAATATACTGTATATCAAGAGAACAAAGGAGAGAATCACAGCCTCTGGGACCAGAGACCCTCCTGTTTCTCCTTTGTTATCAAAGCAATAAAACTTCTTTCTCCTTTTTCTCAAACTGTGTTCTCATTATTGGATTAGCATCAGGGACAAGGACTGAGCTTTCAGTAACAAATCTGGTACCCCAGATGGGACCCAAGAACAGCCCCCACTCCAATTTTCTTAGGCAGGCCTGGCTCTCCAAGCAATCCCACTTTCATGCTAAGGATGTCAAGTGGTTGGCGAACCTATGGAGAACCATCTGCAGGAGAGTTAGAAGACCAGTGAGTTTGCCTCAGGTTGAACTGGAAGAGCTGATACTTTGAGTAAAGGGAGGGACTGAGCGATTGTCCCAGAAGCTGCAGAAGCTCCTTTTGCTTTGGAGAACTCCTGCCTTCCCTCCCTTATCAGGCTACTCCATCTTGGTCCACTTTGAGAAAAAGGAAACTGAACTCAGTAAAGTCATGACACCCTTGGCCATCTGGTAAGTCCCCCGGTGTGCACACTGAGACTCTTGATTCCACACCATCTTGTCCCTCTATGTGGGAACATCTGTGGAGTTACTGGTGTAGGAGTCACAGTTAAGTAGACTCAAACCTACGGATATTTGCTCTTTTCTGGTCTGCTTAGGTTCTCATCTGTTTATTGAGCTTGGGTTTGGGAATTCCCTCTAGTTGTCTGTGTTTTTGTTTTATCTGTTACTGCCCCTTTTAAGACATGGGCAATACTGTGTTGATCCCACAAGTAGTCTCTTGGGAAAGATCTTGGCTGGCAGTAAAATAAAGATATTGCCAGATTAAAAACTACATTGTTAATGTTGTTTCTTTTACTGTGGCAGGACTTCTGCCCATTTTTGTATTTTTCTTTAGTGTCCTATGTTTCATTGGCATGCAGTTTCCTACTGAACATTTATTATAATTAAGAATTGATACATTAATAATTCAAAACATACCCATCATGTTACTAGAAAAAAATAGGTTCCTAAAAACAGAAAGGATACATTCAAGTTCAGTCTCACAGTAATTTTTTTTTTTTTTTAAATAAGGTTGAGTACCCCATACCTGAAATGCTTGGGACTAGAAATATTTCTGATTTAGGATTTCCTTAGATTTTTTAAATGTTTGTATATAGGCACGATATCCTGGGGATGGGACTCAAGTCTAAACATGAAATGAATTAACATTTTATATATATCTCATATACAGAGCCTGAAGATAATTTTATACAATATTTTTAGTGCATTTTCATTTTGACTATAACCCATCACATAATATCTGGTGTGAAATTTTTTACTAGTGGTATTATGTTGGCACTTAAAAATCTTGGATTCTAGAGCATTTCAGAATTTCAGATTAGGGAATCTTAACCTGTGAAAGCAAATAATTACTTACTTGATTGCTTGTGCTCCTGGTCTTTGCACAATTAAAGTGCTAAATTCTTCTACTACAATGTGTATCAGCTCAGGTTTTTGGTTATTTTCCCTTAGAACGATGGACATACTTTTCAAGTGAACAAAAAACTTCATGGCTTCAAACTAGAGTATAACCAGAAGAATAAAATGGAAAAAAATATACATAAATATGTGTGTGTGTGTGTGTATATATATATATATATATATATATATATATATATATATATTTACACAAAAAATAATCTTACTTAATATAGTTCATTCATTTCAAAAACACAAAATACTTTAGAAACAATCCTTCATCTATTCCCCCAAAGAAATACCACAGTAACGCCAAAAAGTAAAGGATAATTTTTGTTCTTACCTTGGAAATTAAAATAAATGCAATATTTACAGACTCAGAACAGATCACAGAAAAAAGGTAGTAGCACATATTTCTGAGAAAAATTAAAATAGACATATCCAACACTCAACTCAGAGGTGTTAGGTAAGAAAACATCTTACTGTTTTGGGCAAGGTTGGATCAACTGCTGTTTCACTATAGCCAATTGCTTCATAGAGTAAAGCCTTTTCTTCAAGTGTCAACATTTCTTCCAGAACTACAAATTGTAAACAAGAACTCTGAAATTTCAGGTGGTAACAATAAAAAACTGAAATATAATTTACCTGCCTTCAGAAATAACATGAAAATTTTATTTTCCTTTTCTAATATTAGAATGACAATGGTACTTTTAGAAGTTACTTTCCTAAAATACAATTTACTAAACATATAAATTGAGCAATATAAATTTCTAAATGTTTGTTTTAAGCAAGAGCTCAAAATATGGCTAACTGTACTGAACACTTTGTGCTCTATATGTGTAATAATAATTGTAATGCATTACACTGTCATATAGAAATAAAAAATAAAAATATTTATTTGCTTGTACATATTAAAATGCTTAACAATAACTTTATTAATAATAAATTTAAACTGAATATAATCATGTACATATGCTTACACAATGTCTATTTAATTAGGAAATTTTCTGCAAAACTCTATTTTCACAAGTGATGATTAACTACTCTACAGTAAAATGAAATGGACATACTTCCAGGTTTAACATCTGGTTGTTCTTTAGTATGTGATTCTGACCAAGTCCACAGCCAGTTAAACCATCCTTTTTTATCCTCTGGATCAATTATTCCTTCTTTATAAATCTTGTATCCAGTTTTCTTTAACTAAAATCAACAAATTTTTGAATAATGACAAATTATCCATTTTTCAGCAATCAAAAGAAATGGATACATGGTATTTCAAAATTATCTACCTGAATGAATGTAAACAATAAACACACTGAAAAAATAACCCAGTAACTTCAATTAGCCAAACATAAGAATTTAGGATTACCACATAGTTCTTCCTGTCATAAGATTTGGTGACTGGGGCAGGGGAGAGGAAGGGTGACCCCTACTTGCTTTCACTTTCATATGAACTCTGAATATTTGAAAAGCCCAATTATTACAAAAGAATTTCTTTCCATAAAAATATGCCTGATTTAAATGGATATGGCAAAAAATGAAATCAAATTTTCTTATAATGCAAAAATGCAAATTTGAGCCCTTTTAGGAAACTATTTTATAATACAAAATATTGATAACAACATCTGTCATAACCATATGGAATTCAGAATTATTCTTACTAATTGAAAGAAAAATCTGAAGTTACCTCAACTTCTGCCTGTTGTCTAGCTATAGTTATATTAAAGACATCCAAGGCTTTTTCCAGCTCCTGAAAATATAAAAGAAAATGTGGTAATGTTATATAAATAAATGTACATAAATAACTTTAGTATATAAATCTACGAACTGCTATACTATAGAAAAATATGAGAGAGGAAGCTGAAAAGAGAACATCTACCAATATAACAAAATATATCTGTTAAATTCTGAAAGGCAATGCTTGTGTGTGTGTTGTGTGTGTATGTATATACACCAAAGTGAAAATTAGTATACAGAATATTTTGAACAAAAAAATCATGTTTCATAAATATTAGAGTACAAACTCTGTAAGAGGTATAGATATATATTAAAGGATACATATATACATTGTTTTAAATAACTTATTTGGATTTTTAATACAGCTAAAGGTAAATATATCAATATCATTTTCAACAAAAAATATAATTATAAATCCTTCATAATATATGTACAGCTTGCATGGCATCATTAAGATATTCCAAGTAGACCTAGATAAATTTGCTAAAACATTTTTTTAATCTTTACATTTTTCACAATTGTAACAGCTATAAAATAAACTGAGATAAGCTAAATCCTTCATCATATCAACTCATTTCTATAACTTTCAAGTAGTATGCTCAAGCTACTTTTGTCCCACAGATAAAAGATACATACATGCAACCATGACCTACTATTATCTAAAAAATAGCTTAACTCGGGATTCTACTACTCAGCACACTTGAAGGCCTCTGCTTAAGATTCAAAACTAAATAAGGAAATCTGAAACCACCCATAGCCTCTAAACCCAAGCATTCCTAATTATCACTGGGTCTTCAGAAAGTGTCCCACCTTAAAAATAAAAGTAAAACTCAATCTTCAGGGAGTTTCTAATTGGAAATCCATTCTAGATTCAGAATGGCTACACTAATTTCAAGAGGCTAACTCCCTTTGTCTCTTTAAGCTGTACTTCATCCATCTTATAAAATAGCCCCTCTTAGAATATGTAAAATGCAAAAAGATTTAGACTAATTCACAGATAGTATCTAACAACAGTTAATACACAGATAGTATCTCAAGACAGAGTATTAACTATAAAGTTGCTGATAAAGACTTCAGATACCACAAGAATGTATGGGCAGAAAATTCAGGGATCTTCATGCAAGAGATGACACTTCAGTACAAGTTCAGGGACAAGAAGAATTAGAATGAGGAAAGATGGATGGCACATATTAGCACAACTGTTTCTACAAGAATGAGGACTGGAGCTGGGGTTGTAGCTCAGTAGTAGAGCCCTTGCCAGCATGTGTGAGGTACTGGGTTCAATCCTCAGCACAACAAAAATATGAATAAATAAAAGGAAGGTATTGTGTCCATCTATAACTAAAAATATATACAAAAAATGAGCACTGAACATATAGAAAACTTAATTAATGCACAATCAGATGATAAGAGCAAAAATGTGATTGATGATGCCAGTAACATACAACTTTGGAAACCAACAGAGAAGTTTGAAAAAAGTGTAGCATACACTTTATTTTGGCTTTGAGGTTAAAAACAACATGAGACTTCAAGTTACCATGTGCATAAACCCAAATCTCTTCAGAATAAATATAATCTCCTAAATTTCAAAAGCTCACAGGAGAATTTCATAAGATCTTTTATTACGTGAAATTAGAACAGGAGCACAAAGGTGTCTTAAAAAAAAAAGTGCAGTCACTAAAAGTTAGAATAACGAGTCACTAAATATATTGATGTAGGCATTATACAGTACAACTATTTTGTGTGTTTTTTTATTTATTTATTTAAATGCTAACCTCTAAAGACATGAGAATTTCACCAGGTGGTTTCTTATTTATTAACTTTTTTTTGTACAGTTCTTTATATTGCTTCAGTTTTTGTCTATGTTCCCGAATATGCTTCCATGACCACATCCGTAAGCTGGGGCAAACATTTACTTCAAGAATACCGTGTATAGCATAAGCCCACCTAGTTACAAAACAAAAAGAAACACCCCAAACATAACACTCTAAAATCAACAGTCTGAAACAAAACTTATACTCTAACAACAAGCATATCTATAATATTGAGATTAGTAAAAAGATGTATTATTATCTGAGCATTTGCTGTTTCCCAATCCTGTTTATATTAACAATCTATTAATTATTAATCTTACTTCTTTCCAAAGTAAAAATAAGCAAAAGCATTCAATTTTGGCTAAAACTTATATGGCTCTACACAAAAACTATTAAGGCTTTTTAGTAAAATAATAATTGAAGTACGTACCTACATACCTCAAAAAGTAATAGAAACTTGTAGAAACTAGATAATTATTTAAAAACTAGAATAACAATATATCTTTGCATTTTAAAATGGAGTTTTACCATATAGACTCTATAACCTTCTCAGTTTTTAAAACTCATGTCTAATAAATAGATTTAGTGGGTCTGACAGGAAAGTTTGAAGGAAATAAAGAAGATATTTCTAGAAAACAAACCAAGATAGTTTTTAAATAATTGCAAAAACACTGATCCCTCTATAGTAAATAAAAATTATGGTATTTTATTATCTCTAGCTATAAACGGTTATAAAGAACCCCTTGAGTCAGTGTTACTAACAAAAACAGCTACTACATACATTTCCAGACACAAATCAAAGTTTGTATCAAGACCTTAAAAAGACTACCTTAAAAAAACTAATGTCTAAGAAACTTACTTTTTTGCCATATGTTTTAAATCATTATTAAAAAACAAAACAAACAAACAAACTTAAAAGGCATTTTTACCATTCCTTGGCATGGAAATGAAGAGGAACATCAGGTTTGAATTTCCTATATGGCAGGTTTTGTGTCATCATATCAACTGATTCAAGAAGCTCCATAACACTGAAATACTAAAGAAGGGACAAATTAAAATTCTCAAATGTTTGAAGTTTTTTGCTCAACTGAAAAGTGAAATTACCAACTTTTTAAGGAAATGCTACCATATAACATTATGAATTTTAGAAAAACATTGAAAATCTTAGTTCTGCTTTGATTAAACAATAACTCAAAACTTAAAATTTCATCAAAGAAAATCACCTGTGGTTTATTAAATTCAATTGCTATGCTATGTAACTCAACTTCCAAGTTTATTTTGGGGTCAGAAAAGTCAAAATCTGATCGGCGATTCATCTGAAGTTTGGCTTTAGCAGATATGGGGCGAAATACTGAAAAATAATAGAAATTGAAAAAAATTAAATTCAATCATCCTTTAAAAGTCTCAAGGCACCAAAGGGATCAAGTTGAAAACACTGATTTTCATTTCTTTTATACCCTTTCTACAGTTCTTAAATGTCCACACTGCCATAACTTGGTCCAAAGAACTGTTTCTTAATTAGTGAAAATGGTTTTTTTTCTTTCTTATAATTCATGTTATCTTCCATAAGTAGAATAAGGCTAACAAAACGCACCCTCAGAACACCAATAAATGCTTAAAAGCAGCAACACTCAACTATAAGGAAAAACAGTCCAATAAAATGGTTTCACTAAAAGTACACCGTTAAAATGATTATTAGAAATATTATGAAAACAATTATATTTAAAATTGACTTTCATTTTATGATTTTGAATTCTAAATTTCTCTGTATCTTCCTATTCCTCCTTTCAATTTGTGAAAAAAGGGCAGAGAAAATGACAGTTTTTTCCCAGATTACCTGCTTCGCTCATTCCATCATACCAAAAAGAATAAGAACTATGCAGAGGGAGACCAATAATAGCAGAATCCAGACAGACATCAACCATCAAATTATAAACTAATTTGTATACAATGATAATGCATTCCTCTTAATCATCCCTAAAGACTATCACTTACTACAACTGATTGATCTGCAAACTTTTCACTTTGCTACATGTCCTTAGTTTCATCCATACTCTGCCATGTTATTTTTGTGTTACTGTTTTTAAAGTCTGTTTTCTCTACTTTTTAAAATGTCTTAACTGATAGGTAAAAGCATAAAAATTATACCTATTAATGGGTTGTCATCTACTGTTTGAATACATGCATACATCGTGAAATGTTTAAATATGGTTAAACATATCTATCTATGTCCTCAAAGATTCATCATTTATAGTGAAAATTTCATGATAAAAACTTCCTTTCCAGCTGGGCATGGTGGCACATGCCTATAATCCCAGTGGCTTGGGAAGCTGAGGCAGGAGGATCCCAAGTTCAAAGCCAGCCTCAGCAACTCAACGAGGCTCTAAACAACACAGCAAGACCCCAGTACTAAACAAACAAACAAACAACTCCCCTTCCTAGCATTATGCCAGTTATGAATTTATTGCCTGTGAATTCCAAATTTACCCTTTATGCCTGCTCTGAAAAATGGTTTAAGGTCCTTCAAATATTTTTCCTTTACCAGCCATTATAATAATAACCTTTAAACCACTAGCGACACTACAGAGGAAGGATTTATCCTGCCTGGTTCCAGTGTGGTCATTTAAAAAACTTCTACAAAGGAATGGTTCTCCATTCCTTTAGAACAGACTTTAACCACTGACTGGTTCCTATAGCATGAAGGTATTTAGAACCAGCCTTTTGAAGGTAGAGCTTAGAGCAGCAACTTCCCCTACTACCCTACTTAGGAAGACCTGTACTAAAGTACTGACAGTAAGAAACCTCTCCATGAGGCTAACCAGGGAACAGATTTGCGGGCACAGCAGAATAGGGACTTTCTGCCATTCAGTGAGCTACAACCATTATCTCTCCAACAAGGTCTAGACCTCAGTCCTCAGGAAGGGGTCCTTCTTTAGGCACTTCATCTTAGCCCTAGGGTAGAAGCTATTTCTTTTATCATCTACTCCTAAATTTTTTAGATTTCTCTTCTTTTTTTTTTTTTTTTAACTAGTCAACACCTTGTTACTCCAAACCTGTCTAACAGTTAATATTTATTTACATTAAACTTTACATGTTCAAATTATATTCAATTCTCTCTCTTCATTGGATCTTTACTGATACAATATAAAATGACCACAGGGCAAAGGAGAAATAAGTCAAACCTTAAGTAACAGATTTGAGAATCATAAACATATATGATATATAGTCTTCTATTCTGAGCATTTCCTATGAGGAACAAGTTTAAAAATGAAACCATATTCAAAAAAATGAAAATAATATTTTAAGAGTGGGAAGAATAAGAAGAGCCATTTGAGGAAACTGACAAAGGTTATCAATAAGGTAGAATAATACAAAAAGAAAAATACTTTCAGGGAGAATATTTTGTGGTTAATGACAGCAGGCAGCCAAATTCAAGAGTGCCCTCAGGATTGAAGAAATGACACTCCTTTTCTCTGTGTATTTTAGTAACTTGTTTCACATTATAAAAGCAATATGTATTCATTTAGAAAATTTGAAAAACAAAAAACTATAAAGAAGAAAAATTTTAAGTGCATGTTTTTAAAATAGTAAGATCACAGTGCAACTAAAGCTATAGCAGCTAGTTTTATTAAGCTGTATTTGCTATGTCAAAATATCTTTATAAACATTATCTTAATATTAAATATAACTGAATATAAGCCTTATTGAATATAATCCTTAGAGATTTATCACAATTTATTACCATATTTGTTTTTAGACATTTTCTCCTGTAGTTCTGAATGATAGCTAAAGCTCCTAAACATATAAAAAAGATAATTTTTTTTTTCAAATTTTTTTTTATTTGTTCTTTGTAGTTATACATGACAATAGAATGTATTTTGACATTTCATTCATACATGGAGTACAACTTCCCATTCTTGTGGTTGTACATGATGTAGAACTATACTAGTTGTGTATTCATTCATACATGAACATAGGAAAGCTATGTCTGATTCATTCTACTGTCATTCCCATTCTCATCCCTCCTCCTTTCTTCTCACATATATTAAATATATTATAGAGATCTCAACTATACAAGAGAAAATTTAATATAAAAGAACAGTGATATCAAAAATGTTAATGTACATTTTATACTGATTAATTACACTTTTTATTTTATAGAATACACTTACCAAAATCATAACCTTTTGGAACAATATATTCATTAACAACGCCATTCTTCAAGTTGTCCTATTAAAAGACAAATTGCTTTTATTTATATTCACATCAATATACCTTTATCCTATAAAATTCTATTATCTGCAAAAAAATGTTTAAAAGCACTTAGCTATGAGAAAATATTAAAGTAATTAAACAATATAGCACTAAACTACTACAAAACAATGCTTTAGGAGATATTAAGATATGCATATATGTGTGTGTACGTGCATTCATACTTGTGTAATTCACCTATTAGTATAAATAGCTAATGGATTTTACCTAGGAAAAAAAATACCAACTCTGGTAGTGATAGAATACTTATGATGAATTATACTTTATACAAAATATGATACTAACAAACATATATGCACACATCCAAATAATTTACTCACCAATGATTTGTCATAATCATTAAGATAAAACATCTGAGACTGTACATTCCAGTAGGCAAAAAGATTGTCCAATCGAATTAACTGAAAATAAATCAAATTTATTATGTTTTATTTTCTTTGAAGTATTAACATAAGCCATTCAGAAGTCTCAAATAATTGAGTGATATGACAGAGTTAAGCAAACAGCAACAGTTCACATTAACTCTTATCTATATGTATATTTTCATTTATTTTTCTAAAAGTCTCTTTCAAGTCAATGAGTTAGCATTTATTTATTTTACCTTACGAACTAGTTTCTCAGTTTCATCTTGTAAATATGGAACCCAGTACTGATCAGTGGTCTGAAAAGGGAAAAAAGAAAAGCAGTAAAATGATCATTACATTTGAAATGGCAGAGTGCTGTCATTATAACCTAAGACCAATTTCTCATGAAAATGCCATTAAAAATACATAATTTAGGAAAAAAAAAACCTTTAGAAGATGGAAAGATATCCTGTGTTCTTAATTGGCAGAATAAATATTGTCAAAATGGCCATACTACCAAAAGCAGTATACAGATTCAATGCAATCCCTCTCAAATACCAATAACATTCTTCACAGAATTAGAAAAAAAAAAAAATTCTTAAATTCATTTGGAAGAATAAGACGCACAGGATAACCAAAGCCATACAAAGTAGGAAAGCAAAGGAGGCGGCCTCATAATAGCTGATCTGAAATTATGCTACAGAGCTATCTTAACAAAAGCAGCATGGACTGGCAGCAAGATAGACAAGAAGATGAAAGGAACAGAAAACACAGAGACAAAGCCACATTTCTACAGCCATGTGATATTTGACAAAAAGTGCAAAAAATATATTTTGGAAAAAGCCTTTTTAACAAGTGGTGCTAGGAAAACAGGATAGCTATGTGTAGAAAAAAATAGAAACTAGACCTATATCACCCATCCTGAACAAAAGTCAAACTGAAATGGATTAAAGGCTTAGGAATTAGAACAAAAATTTATAACTGCTAGAAGACAATACAGGGCCAACATTCCATCATATAAGTGCTGACTTCCTTAACAAGACCCCCATAGTGCAAGAAACACACACACACACATTAAAAAAAAAAAAAAAAAACACAATGGAGTTTTACTCAGCCATTAAAAAGAATGAAATTATGGCCTGTGCCAGTAGATGGAAATGGAAGTGAAACTAGCCAAACTCAGAAACTTAAAGGTCAAAATATTTTCTCTCATATGCAGAAACTAGAGTAAACTAAAGGAAAAGGGAAAGGAAAGATAAAATTACATAAAGAACCAATCAAATAAAATAATAGGCTAGGGAGCAAAAGGAAGTCTAGTAGAGGAAGAAGCATGGGAGAGGGGAGGAAGGACAGGTAGGAAATGTGGGTGGAGGGACAAAGGGGGTGGATTGTGAACCAAAATCAAACTCCTTGAACATATCTGTTTGTCAGAATGAACTCAACTACTATGTAGAACCACAAAGCTCTAATAATCTTTTTTAAAATATACCATTCCAACTGGTTGTGGTGGCACACACCTGTAATCCCAGAGGCTCAGGAGGCTGAGACAGGAAGATTGCTGAGTTCAAAGCCAACCTCAGCAAAAGCGAGGCGCTAAGCAACTCAGTGAGACCCTGTCTCTAAGTAAAATACAAAATAGGGCTGGGGATGTGGCTCAGAGCCTTTGAGTTCAACCCCTGGAACCCCACCCCCCAAAATCATTCAATCAAAGACTACTAAGGACCACAGGAAAGTCTCTGCTTTCATGGAGGTCAAAAACAAAACAAGTAAATACAAACAGGTAAGTGTCACCACAGAGGTTAAATAGTTAACTGTGACAACAAAGAGCTTGCCAAATGGCAGTGGCAACAAAGAGCTTGCCAAATAAAATGATGATCAACTTAATATAATGAACTATAGAAATGACACCTGAAAAAAGGCTTATGACTAACCTAATTTATGATATGAGTAGAAATTATTGATCCTCAGTAGGAATTATTGTTCACAAAAAGGAGGCCCAAAGATATGTAAAGATGACACGTTCAGAGAACTGAAACAAGGCAGTATGGCCAGAGAATATAACACAAACAAAGAAAAGAGGTGAAATCTGTTATGTTACATGGAGTCAGATTACAAGATTTATAAACTATACAAAGACAAAACTACACATTTTTCCTTAAAGCAATCAAGGTATTCTGTCCTTATTTTCAACATAACAGCAGTATTTGACAACTTACCCTACCCACTTTAGAGTGACTTTTCACTTTTTGTTTTTGCTTATGGTAGAGCCATGAAAAATGAAATCATATATAAAACCCAACAGATACAAGATATGCAACTATATAATAAAAAACTATATAGAAGTTAAATTGCCTTACATGTGAGGAAAAAAAGTTTTTTAAATATTGTGAAGTGGAAAAGTTAACGTACTGAAGAAACATAAAATATTTATGTAAACTTTTCAAATAAACCTACATTTTTAATGAACATATTGTATAAAAGTTTTAATACTTAGAATGTTTATCTCTAGGGGAGATGAGAAGGGTGAATTGAAAACAAAAGGAGTTTAAACTTTATCTATAACTGTGTAGTCCTATAAAATTATTTAATATTTAGAGTAAGTAACAAATTCAACAACTATTCATTCTGAATGCAAGCAAATTTTTCAAAATTCTCTGTGTTCCTTTATTTTCAAAATTGCTCTATTTCACAATTAAACAGGAGAAAATATGCGACAATACTAATAATAGTGGTGAGGAAATGAATTCTTAAGAGTTTTTCAAGACTAATCAAAGATTCCGAAACAAATATTTATTATTTTTATTTAGTACTTATTTATTAGAACTTTGGAAATATTTTTGCAGTTCTGAGGAGAAAATCAATTTTTTAAGCAAACAAAAGTATCTAACATTGTAGTTACCAATAATAATAGGCCCTCACATTTTAAACTAAATTTTATTTCCAGTTTCATAAATGTGAATTTACTTTCCCCTCAATTCCAATTCTATGTATGACTTTTCTACAACTAAATGCAAAACTATTTCTAATACAGCATATACAAATCATAATTGTAGTCTGAATAACGGTATTCCACAATTAAATATCGTCATTACTTTTTTAAATGAAGTACCTGCATGCTGAGATTTTGTAAAGAAATACCAAATGACAGCGGTTTCTCACGATTTGTGATCTAAAGAGGGAAAAAAGAAAATCTTAGTCAAATTTGTTAACAGTTGAACAAAATTCACTTTATGGAAAAAGTTAACTTTCTAGGAAGTATCCTATTTTGAATATTCAAAAACATTGTATTTCTTCCTTTGAAAATATCTTTGGTTCCTACATTTTTCCTAAAACAAATTAAAATACTAAATATTAACATCTGTGTTATACTATAATGATACACCTACACAATGTTTTCTAGTTTATAAAAAAATGTTTATTAAAAAAAACTGACACAGGGCTGGGGTTGTGGCTCAGTGGTAACAGCTTGCCTAGCATGTGTGAGACACTGGGTTCTATTCTCAGGACCACATAAAAATAAATAAATTAAATAAAGGTATTGTGTCCGTCTACAACTAAAATAAATTTTTAAAAAAAGACTGACACAGTAATACTATAAAGCAAATAATTCAGTGTTTTAAGAGAACAACAAATTAAGCTCAAACAATTAGTTAAGCCTAGCACTACTGATCTCTAGAGCAGAGCTCTTTCCAGGAGATAAAAGTAGCATATTTTTAAAAGTACTTAATTTTGAAATTGGTAATTTCCAAGGCATTTTCATTCATGATCTGGAGTTTGAACAGTTTGGGAAAATGTAACTAAACACTCACTATTAACAACTGAAAATTACAACACACATTCATGTGCTTAGTACGCATGAGTCCCCACAATCAATCCTCAGTTCCCAATAAAAGAACAGATCATGTTATCTTCAGTTTTATATCTTTCAACCTCTCAGCATTATTTAATAGTCTGGCTAGTATAAACTAAGTATCAACAAATAGTACAATGACTTACATATAAATGTATCTTTTAAAATCATCTATATTTTTAAAATACTTACATCATCTTCATAACGAATATGGATGTTGGAAATTTTCACTTGAAGATTTTTTATGATCTGAGTAACTAATTTTTCTGTAAAAGTATCCTGTTTCTCTTCCCGCTGTTGTTCTACAATTGCAAATATTCCTTTTATTTAATTTGAATGAAACATGCATCCTGTAACTATCCATACATTGAGGGAGCATTTTTATAACATCTTGCTTAAGAAAAATAGAGATTTAAAAATTCAACACTAAAAGCATGCTTTCCAAAAATCTTTCAAACCAAAAACTTTCAAAGACAATCAAATACACAAAATTTTTCAAAACATAGTTTCTTGTTCAATAAAACTAAAGTCAAAGAGGTAAAATTTACTGGCATCAAATTTTATAATTTATCTGTTAACTATGTCTAAATCTATAAAGAGGAAAACAATGAAGACCGTTAGGTAAGAATTATAATAGGCATAAATTAGAAAAGCCAGTAACTGCAGCAAAGCAAAAATTATATTTTTTCGGTGCTTAGATGAATAAAATAGTTGAATACAATATGTTCCCTCTTTTGATGATATAAAATTGAAAATTACATGATCCTCTCTTCTCCTTTCAAACAAAGATGAAAAAAGTTCATTTTAAGAAAATACTGTAGCAAGCATAGTGGTGCACATGTATAAGGCTGAGACAGGAGGATTGCCTGTATACTCAGAGGCTTGGGAAGGTGAGGCAGGAGGATCGGGAGTTCAAAGCCATCCTCAGCAACCTAGCGAGACACTAAGTAACTCAGTAAGACCTTGTCGCTAATGAAAATACAAAATAGGGCTGGGAATGTGGCTCAGTGGTTGAGTGCCCCTAAGTTCAACCCCTGGTATCATCACCCCTGCCAGAAAAAAAGAAAAAGAAAATATTAAGTATCTTCAGTTTCAATACTTTCCAGGGGAACAGAAAGAATAAACAATTGAGGACTATAATTCTTTGACATATGCCTTTGATAACTGCTAGTTACCATCCCTAATTCTCTTTTGAAAAGTGCTGATGAAAGCTATCTCCTTTTGTATTTCTAGTCTATTTCTCCTTTAGTATTATCAGTCTTCTTTATAGACAAAATATATATATATATATGTCCTCTCTTTTACTCTAATTACCTACATCTCCTAATTCAGTTGGCCCAGGAGGACTTCGCAAAAAGTTAATGAAGATATCAACTATACACCTCAAAAATACAAGAGTTAAGTAAGAATATCTGAATATAAAAGGTCTATATAATTAAGTAAATCAGTCCATAGAATGTAAGCTCTTTGAAACCAGAAGACTATATTTCAACCTTGAATCCTGTTTCACAATAAAATCCTTTGCCCTTATAAACTTATTCAATTAAATGATAAGTATTTCTGTCCCTACCCACTATTGTCCTCCTGACTTCCTTATGCAGCTCAAATTTCATGTAACAGCAGTATCCTCCTACCCATCATTTCACTTTCCATGGTTTCAGCTACCTGTAGTCAACCAATCCAAAAATATTAACATCTATCTTAACTTTCTCAAGAGACTACATTCACATAACTTTTATTTATTACAGTATATCATTATAATTGTTCTGTTTTTCATTGCTGTTAATCTCTTACTATGCCCAATTTAAACTTATAATTTATCACAGAAATTTATGCATAGGAAAAAATATAGTGTATATATTTATATATAGTGAGATTTCCTGCTTACACCAGGGGGCCCCACAGACACGGGTGGACTACTATGTATTATTTCACCCACTCCTTAAACTGATTTGCTCTTTTTTCTAATTTTCCCTTGTCAATAAAGACCCAACCCTGAATAAGACCAATTTTATATAAGCTTCATATAAAAATATGCCCATGCTTGTGTCTTGCCAGGTGAGTGCTACAAGATACAGATCACAACAGGACAGACTAGAATTATGGTACAGTACTCATCACTATCTTCAAGCAACCAGTAACCCTATTACATTTCTCTAGTCAACATGTTCATACTCTTAGAACAACTATTTCAAAATTCATTTTGACTCTCTTCAAAGTTCCAACTACTCTATTTACACAACTCTGTTTTCTTTTACTAGATGTTCCTGCCTCCAACTTTGGAAGAAGGCAGTTTCACAGTTAGATAACTCCTTCTCTGTCATCATCATTCAGTCAAAACAACTGTTTTTAAGGTGAACAATAACCTATATGCCAGAAACAAAATAATTTCTTAATCATCTTACCCATATATTTCATCAAGATCTATTGTTTGCATCTTAAAACAGCCCCTTTCCCACAGAACTATAAATTCCAAATTTCCTCCTATTATTTATCCACTCCTTTTTGTTCTCTTTTTGTATGTTTTCCTCTGCTATACAATCCTACATGTTAGATTTCTTTAAGGCTCAATCCTAGGATTATTTCACTTCTTACTCTATAGTGCTGCTTCAGGGAACCTCATCTATATCTTCTTGCCTGAATTATAAATCCAATGCTGGTTAGTCTCAAATAAATGTTGAATAAAGTAGGAAGTGAAATACAAAGTGCAGAGAACTCAACACATTCAGTAAACTACAAAGAGTTCAATATGGCTAGAGTAAAGAATGGAGGAGATGAGATTTGGGACCAGTTATAAGGCTGGAGACGTAGATGAGATTCATTATCATAAGAGCTTTTATATATCTTGATGAAGAGTTTAAACCTTATCCTGATAAGAACAAGGTGTCAGTAATGAATTTTAAGCATGACTACGCATTTATATTTTAGATCTAGTATAATAGGAAGGACTTCTGATTAAACATGATGGATTGCATAAATTTCTCTATTGCTCAATAAAACCTCATTAAAGCAAAACAAGAGGGAAAAATGAATAAATCCCCAAGGTCAAAGGAAAAAACGAGAGGAAAAAGAACAGATGAAAAAGCAATGAAAAATCAGAAACTAGAAAGTAGATGGCCTTAAGGAAGAAGAAATTCAATTCTAAATGACCATGGATGGAAATACCATTGAAACACAAAATTAATTTGAAAACAGAATCCTGGAAACATTCAGGCTTAAACCCCCACAAAAGAAAAATGGGCATCAGGGAGCACGGTGAAGGGAAAGGGAGATAATACAAGAATTGATTTAAAGTCTGCATACAAAGTAGTTAAACTTCTAGGTCCTCTCCTAATAGCCAAGCAATTATCCCTTTTGCAAACAAATGAGAATGGAATGGTTTACTCCAGAGAAAATTTACCTAACAGGCTCCAGATTCATTGGGGGGGCGGGGCAGCAGAATAAGGCTCACACTAAAACAGAGTAAAATTCTACATAATGTACAATTACATGCACATTCACTTAATAATATTATCAAACACATAACAAAGCTGAGCTAGAAAATATATGTAATTAGAGGAGGATCCAAGATGGTGGTCCAGAGGGAGGAAGCATTCTGTGTCGCTCCATGACCTAGGACTCAAGTAGTAAGAATACTGCTTCTTTGAGCACGCGCACGCGCGCATGCACAAGAGAGAGACAGAGAGAGAGAGAGAGAGAGAGAGAGAGAGAGAGAGAACACCCCCCCCCACAGCTGCTCCCACGCAGGGCTTCAGGCCTCAGCATTAGAGCAGGACTCCCCACTACTCACCAACATAAGTCTCCCAGGTGCCCAAGCAGGACCACCAGCATCAGAACCCACAAAGGACTTCTGGCAACCCACCCACACAGAAATCCCAGACAATGCTCCCACGCAGGACACCTGGCCACTGCCCACGCGAAGGAACTCCAGCCAATACTCCCATGCAGACTCCATCTACTAACATGGGGCTCCCACATCACCTCCATCTTGGGACTCTGCAGCCACTGTCATAGTCCCCTGTGTGCAGTAGACTACCTGCACCTGGGGACATTGCACAGGTTCTGAAGACAGCCAACAGCCACAACTCTGCACACCACAGAGCTAATCTCTAAACACATCGCCCAACACCATGGCCCGGCTCCCCCAACCCGACCCAACACCCCATGGCTGAAAACAGTTGCCTCCATCTTGGGTCACCTTCATCACCACCTTTGGTTGGGGCAACTCCAAGTATGGAACACTGGCTGAGCAGGTATCATAGTTCCCAATTACCCCGTCTCCCCGGCAGCCGCTAGCCTAGCAGTGACTGCACAATACAAAACAACTCTCCAAGACAGGTGTGCGGCTCCCAAAGCACAACCCATAAGACCTCTGGAGATAAAGGTCCCTGATTAGGAAGTAGAAAGGGAAAGGGTGAGTGAGATACAATTTGGAGTCTAATTTAAGAGACCAGGAACTGTGAGATCTATAGGTGAGATAAGGAGATAAGACCAGGCACTCACATCACATGAGCAGGCCCCAAAGGAGATCCTTGGGGTGCAGTCTCCCATTGGGGACTGGCAGGTGCCATACCCCACTTCCAGGTGACCTGCACCCAAGTCCAACCCTCCCACTTTGGTAACCTTCACCATCCTGAGGGTAGAGATATCAGCTAACAACAGTCAACCCCACCTACTGGGAGAGAAGGAAAGCAGGAAAGATACTAATCTCCAACCAAAACAATTCTTATTTCTTTCTTCAAGATTATACTTTCCTCTCCCTCTCTACTCTCTCGCCCTCACATCCCTAACATATATGAAACCAAGTACTTTACATGAATTAGGATACTGAGGACTGGGATGTCTAAATAGTATCTTACAGTTGTGTTGTATATTCTTTTTTCTCCTATTTTTACATTTTTTTTATTTTTCTAATATTTATGTGTTTTTTGTTTATGTGTTCTACTGTCTTTCCACTTGTCTTCCCAAAATTACTTTCTTCTCCTGCTACTAAACTTTCTTCTTTAGATTCTTCTTTCATACTTCCTAAGATATAATCACTCTACATCCTCACCTCCTATCTACTCAACATCTTATCCTCCACCTCACTCCCGGCTCTTTGTCCAACATCAGAAACTGTAAACCCTTTTGCAAACCTACTATTTATATTGTAGATAATAACTAAATTCACCATTTCTGTATATTGTAACCAAACTGTAAACATCTTAATAGCAACTATTTGGTTTAAGGTTGTATGTTATTTGTATTGGGAACTGTTAACATTGTCCTTCCCCTCAAAGGAGAGGTACTGGAACCCTGCAGG